CCGGCGTGAGGGCCCCCCCCTCCAACCCCCCCCCCCCCGCCAGTGCACAAATCTTCGTGCACCGGGCCCCTAGTTTTCCTATAATCCTCTGTATTTCTGTGGTGTCAGTTATTACTTTGTATTTCTTTTCCAAAATTGTTTTGGCTATTTGGATTTCCCTGTGATTTTATGTGAATTTTATGGTGGGTTTTTCTCTTTCTCCAAAAACAAAACAAAACACGCCATTGGGATTTTATTACAGATTACACTGAATCTGTGGATCAAGCATGTCAAACTCAAAGGTTAACTAACACAGGCCAAATAAACAAGGTTTAAGTTTCTGTGGGCCGCAAAAAAACAAGTTTCAATTTTCATGGAAACATCGGTTTGTTTCGTTAGAGACATGCTGAATACAAAGGACTAAAATAAATGAGTATTCGTTAACAAAATAATAGAACATTTTAATAAAAATTAAACATTTTTTCTTGAACATTAACTTACCAGACGTTGAATAACTGCACAAATTAATAAGTGTAACGAAAATAAACCTATTTTTCTTGAAAGTTCTCCCAAAGTGAAGTATTTCCTGTTGTGCACACCAAACAAGTCAGCCCAAGATTAATGACGTGGCAGTCAGCTGCTAAAATATTTGCTGCTAGTATTAGTGGAGAGAAATGGTGCGTGCGCCTGCGCCTAAGGCACATAAAGGAAATGGATGCATCACAATGATAGTAATCAGTCATTAGCACATGTTGTAGTTTGTTATTAATAATTATGTATAACAGGATATTGTAAAAATTAAGTTACGAATTTTTCATTAAAACGTTTTTTATATACCGTTATAAAGGCTGGGACGCAAAAATATTTGTTGTGGGCTGCATGCGGCCTGTAGATAGCTTTGTGTAGTATTGTCATCTTAACAATCTTAAATCTTTCAATACATGATGTCTTACTATTTATTTAAGTTTTTCTTTATTTCTTCTAGCAGCGTTTTGTGTTTTTCAAGCTGTAGGTCTTGAGCCTTCTTGGTCAAATTTATTCCTATTCTATTATTTTAGATGTTACAAATGGAATTTTTTTTTAATGTCATTCAGATTATTCATTGCTAATGTATAGAAATAAAACTGATTTTTGGCCCAGCCAGTGTGGCTCAGTGATTGAGCAACCAGGAGGTCACAGTTAAATTTCCATTTGGGGTACATGCCCAGGTTGCAGGCTTGATCTCCAGTAGGGAACGTGCAAGAGGCAACTGATCAATGGTTCTCTTTCAACATTGATGTTTCTATCTTTCTCTTCCTCTCCCTTCCTCTCTGAAATCAATAAAATATATTTTTAAATGTATTATAAAAACAAAAACTAATTTTTCCCATGTTTGTTTGTATCCTGTAATTTTGCTCTACTCATTTATTAGCTCTAACATTTTTTTGTTTGTTTGTGTGTTCTTTGGAGTTTTCTGGATATGAGACCATGCCAGCTGCAAAGAGAAATACTTTTTCCTTTCCATTTTGGGTGCATTTTATTTATTTTTCTTGTCTACTGCCTTGACAACCCGTAATACTATATTGAGTACAAGTAGCTTCCTACCCCACTATTTTTCGTGATGTCATTGTGAATTTTAAGAAGATAATGAGATTTTATATCTTACATGAGATTTCAAATTTTTGAAGTACTATAATTTTATGGAATTCAGGGCTTATTTCATCATCTATTCTAAAAAATGAAATCCAGTGATTATCATTTCAATGAAGTGTTTTTTTGAGCCTATGGAAAGATGATAAAATGTCAAGAAGATAAACATGTTTGTAAAATGTAATCTTCAGCCAGATATGTGCCACCAGGATAGTTGAAATAAGACAAAGCTTTACATTCTCATTGTTCTTATACCTTCTTCAGTCTGAGAGATGAGACTAAATATTATGGAGACATTTAGAGGAAGCCATAATCACTGTGGTATTTTCTCTCTTAAAAGCATAAAAAAAAAATAAACATATTGTGGTACTCCTAGAAAACGTTATTTTTGAGACATTTCTTTTTAAAGCTTGGCCATAAAGTAAACTATCACTTCTGTAAATAACTTGGTAGAAAATGAAAAGTCAAATGATCAAAATACTCATCTCTAGTACTCTTATGGTACATTATTTCAAGAAATCAAAGTCAGATTTCTGACCTTCAAGACACTTACGTACTTGCGGAAACTAAACAAAATACATGTCTGGGGGGAGGGGGGGGTGTCGGAATTATATCTTCAAAAACAGTATTGCATTTTCAGAAAGAGACTTTTCTTTAAGTCTCCATAATACCTCACAACTCAAGTCATTTGTTGAGACAGAGAGAGAAAGAAAGAGGGGGAAGCATCAGTGTGTGAGAGAGAAATATCAATTGGTTACCTCCTGAACACACCCCAACTGGGGATCGAACTTACAACCTAGGCATGTTCCCTAATTGGATATCCACCCTCAACCCATTGGTGTACAGGATGATGTTTCAAGCAACTGTACCACCAGCCAGGGCTAAACTTATGGGTTTTTTTTTTTTTTTTTGCTTGTGGGTTTTTTTTTGTGTTTTTTTTTTATTGGTTAAGAATGGTGTTATTCTAGTGTCTAGATACTGAATTCAATAATTATAGGTTGAAATATATTATTTTATAGATACTCTTCAGCAACTTTAAATTTTCTGTAAATTGAAATCTTTTTTTAAATAATATATTTTTTATTGATTTCAGAGAGAAAAGGAGAGGGAGAAAGAGATAGAAACATCAATGATGAGAGAGAATCATTGATCGGCTGCCTCCACGCTCCCTACTGGGGATAAGCCCATAACCCGGGCTTGTGCCATGACTGGGAATCGAAAGATGACCTCCTGGTTCATAGGTTGATGCTCAACTACTGAGCCACTGGCTGGGCTAAATTGAAATCTTTTACTACATCTTTCATTTCTTTACCACTAGCACTTCCAAATCTGTTGCAGAATATTTTTCTATTGGAATTCAATAGAAAATTATAATATTTTATAGTGAGGTATATATTCTTCTGGGGTGCGGGAGGAGGGGACAGGGATTCATTCTGGAAGTAAGCTAATTTTTCACTTATTTCAAAGTCCAACCAGGGATATTAGTAGGAAGTTGTACATCACTTAAACTTTTTTAAGTGTTTATTTTCTTTGTATGTATTAGGCCTCAAGAAAGGAGACCTGGATATGAACAGTTTCACCCAGGCCCGTCCCCAGTGGATCATGATTCACTGGAATCCAAGAGACCACGTTTGGAGCAGGTTTCTGACTCCCATTTCCAGCGTGTCAGTGCCACGGTCTTACCTTTAGTGCACATGCTACCAGAAGGGTTGAGGTCTTCTGCAGATGCGAAGAAGGTAAATATTTGCTCCCTTATTCTGTGGAACTGTCAGTCTCTAATATTTATTTAGTTGAATTCAGGCACCTCGACTAAAAGAAAGTCCAGTTACAGTCTCTAAAGGTTAGTGCTATGGGAAAGTAAGAATTTTGTTAAATAAAACAAAAAACCACAGACTTATTGTTCCAGACTTTTGAAGTCAGTACTTCAGATTTTGTAGTAAATGAAACCAATCTGAGGAATGTTATAAAGAAAAATTGCTATTGAATAACTCTCAAGCATTTTGTACTGGCTTGCTGGACTGTAAAATGTGGTCAGAGGTACTCAAGACTACCATAATTTTCCTAAATTTAAATTAAATTTTAAATAATCTTCTGAAATTTTTTAACTTGCAACATGGGACAAGATACTATTTATGTATGGATTAAGTGTATTTATATAAAAAATGTATATTCTTTAGGAGACTTGCAAGTACTAATACAAGTAAAAAGTTACCTGTAATTCTGTCTCTTGGAGATAACTAATTTTAATATGCAGCTATATTTCATGACATTTCAAATAATGTGTATTTATCAGAAGGCTCTACTAAGATCAAACCTCTTTTTCTTTGTGTTTATTATTATTTGCCTTTCTTTAATGAAATGTATGTTTGTTTATTATGCCTTTATTTTGTTGCTGTGTTTATCTTTTTTTTAGTTGAATGTATTGGGGTGACATTGGTTAATAAAATTATAGGTTTCAGGTGTACAATTTTATAATACATTATCTGTATATTGTATTGTGTATTCACCACCCCAACTCAATTCTACTTCCATCACCATTTATTCCCCTTATGCCCTCTACTATCACTGCCCCCCCCCTTTCCTTTTGGTAATCACCATGCTATTGTCTGTGTCTATGAGGCTTTTTATTTTTTATTTTTATTAATCCTCACCCGAGGATATTTTTTTCCACTGATTTTAAAAGAGAGTGGAAGTGAGTGGGAGATACAAAGAGAGAGGAACATCGATGTGATAGAAACACATTGTTTGGTTGCCTCCTGCACACATCCAACTGGGACCAGGGATTGAACCTGAAACCACAGTACGTGCCCTTGACTAGAAGTGAACCTGTGACCCTTCAGTCTATGGGCTGATGCGCTAACCCAGTAATGGCGAACCTATGACACGCATGTCAGAGGTGACATGCGAACTCATTTTTTTGGTTGATTTTTCTTTGTTAAATGGCATTTAAATATATAAAATAAATATCAAAAATATAAGTCCTTGTTTTACTATGGTTGCAAATATCAAAAAATTTCTATATGTGACATGGCACCAGAGTTAAGTTAGTGTTTTTCAAAATGCTGACATTCCGAGCTCTAAAGGTTCGCCATCACTGCTCTAACCACTGAGCAGCCAACTAGGGCTGTTTTTTTTTTTTTTTTCTTTTAACCACTTGGCAACAGCATGGATGGATCTAGAGGGTATTATGCTAAGTGAAGTAAGCCCGTCAGGGAAAGACAAGTACCAAATGATTTCACTCATGTGTTGAAATCTAATGAACAACATAAACTAACAAACAGAAACAGACCCATAGATAGAGAACAGACTGACAGTTGTCAGAGGGGAGGCGAGTTTCAGGGCAGGGAGAAAATGGTAAAGGGATTAAGCAAAGAGTTTATCCTTTTTAAAATTGTGCATTTTACTTATGTTAAACCTGTTACTTAGTAGGAAATGAATAAATATTTATTTTAGAGAGAATAAACTAATTCTTTAAAACTCTTAAAAAGATATCAACCCCTTTACTATCATACATTAATATCTCTTACTCCGTCCCTCTTTTTATTAGCAAATCTCTTTCTTATAGTTTATTTACCTTTACAAATAACGACTCTTCCCACCCTGATATTAGGTAAATAAATACCCACATATTTTCTTTGGGATTTTATGCAGTGAAAAGTGATTTAAGACATAGTGATTGTCTGCAATTTATTTTCACATAGTTGGGCCAAGGTAAAAAAGGGTAAGTGTGTATGTATGTGTAAACAAACAAATAAAGTGTTAACTAGTGAATCTAGATGAAAGATAAATATCTATTATACTCAGCTTTCAACTGTTATGTAAATGTGAAAATTTACAAACTAAGTTGGGTGGGGAAAAGCTCTCTGTCATAAGCTAGAAGTGAGCTAAACTTGGGGGAGTTTTGATACCCTCCTCATCATACTAAATATCTGTATTATAGTTTATGGGTATAAAACAAGTATTTTTCACCATTAAAAAATATATACTAGGTCTTCTTCCATGACTGAATAAATTGCCACAAATGTAATATCTAGTTATGGAACTTTTAGCAGAAAGGGATCTTAAAAGCTTATCCATAGGGTTATAAGGATGGTTAAACATTTGTAAATCAGTCAATATGATATATCACATTAACAAAATAAAGGATAAAAACCGCATGATCATCTCAATAGATGCAGCAAAAGCATTTGACAAAATTCAGTATCCTTTTGTGGTAAAAACTTTCAACAAAGTTGGTATAGAAGGAACATAATTCAACATAATAAAGGATATGTATGACAAACCCACAGCTGATATGCTTAATATGAAAACTTCTAAGATCAGGATTCTTAATTCTTAATTCTGTCAAGAATGCCATTGGTATTTTAACAGGGATTGTATTAGATCTGCATATTGCTTTAGGTAGTAATGACATTTTAACAATAGTCATTCTTCCAATCCATGAGCAAGGTACAGTCGAACTTCAGTTCTCAGATTTCTCCCATCTTGAACATTTCAGTTCTCCACCAAGGTGCTAACAGAAAAAAAAGTCTCACTATCACCAATTCTATTCAGCATAGCATTGGAAGCCGCAGTAATCAGACAAAACAGGAAATAAAAGGTATCCAAATTTAAAAGGAAGAAGTAAAAGTGTCATTATTTGCAGATGACATACTATATATAGAAAACGCTAAAGACTCCACCAAAGAACTGTTAGAACTAATGAATGATTTCAGTAAATTTACAGGATATAGAATCAACATACAGAAATCTATTGTGTTTTTGTACACTACTAGTGAGTAATATGGAGAAAATAAAGCAGTCCTATTTACAATTCCATCAAAAAGGATAAAATACCTAGTAACAAATTTATCCAAAAAGATGAAATACCTATACTCTGGAAACTATAAGATATTGAAGAAATTGAAGAATAAATAAATAAATGGAAGGGTATACAGTGGAACTTCGGTTCTCGAACTTAATTTGTTCTGGAAGACTTTGAGAAGCAGTTTGTTCAAAAACTGATTTTTTCCCCCATTAGAAATCACGTACTTTGAATTAACTCGTTCCAGACCCCCAAATGATCTTTGTTTTATCCTTTCTTATATACAGTATATGTATAATGTACTTTTTAATCTGTAAACAAACACTTCTTTTCTTAACGTGTTAAGTGCCCAGTAAGTCACTGGTGACTGACACTATACTTTCTGTCGGGAAGACAAAACAGGCTGGGCGCTTAACGTGTTAAATTTATAGAACCATCACCTACTAGCCTTAAATAAATCACTTTCAGCACTCATTCCAGGGGTGCAGCATCTTTGCTTTTTCACATCACTGCTATCACTGGCTAACAGCATTTCACTTATCCAAATCAACAAGTTTTTCCGACTCTTAATTGCCTGTGATCATTGTTTCTTTCACATCCCTAGCAACATTAGCACTCTTGATGGCCTCTTTATGTTTTATTTATTCATTTTTTATTTTTTTTATTAATCCTTTATTGTTCAGATTATTACAGTTGTTCCTCTTTTTTTCCCCCATAACTGCCCTCCACCCTCCACCCAGTTCCCACACCACCCTCTGCCCTTACCCGCCCCCACTGTCCTCATTCAGAGGTGCACGATTT